TACATGCAGAGACTAAGTTACATGAAACATTCCTGTGCATGAAGGGAAAGAGATAGGTGGGAATAGCAGAAAGACAGAGAGGGAGTTAGAGAATTGGGCCAGTGCGTAATTTTAATACCCAGCAGGGATTGTGGGAACTCATTCACATTCCAAGTCTTCATAATTAGACTCCATTCAGCAGCCGGTGCACTGTGCCGTAAACTGTTAATGTTGCTTCTTATTAAAGAGAAAGTAAGAGACAGATAAAAAGAGAGAGAGAGAGGAGGGAAAAACAGATGCAGGATGAAATGACCCAGTTTCCATAAACGTGAGTCAGATGACGATGTGAGGGGAAGAAACTCTTTAATTACTGAAAACACATATGGAGTTTAATCCTCAAGGGGTTTCACATGAGGGCATTAAAAATCAGATGTTGTGTCACATAAAAAGCCACATAAACCTGTTAAAATGAATAGTTAAATCAGGTATACTTTCTCAAAAGCTTGGAAAAATGGCCAGCATGTAAAAGATGAGTTCACACACATAAAGATTTGGTGTAGGATTTACTTTGAAGCATTTTTTTACTCAGAAATTGCTAGTTAAATTTCACAAATAATCATAAAAATGGGCAAGAAACACATTAGATCAGATGTGAAATAGTAAAGTAGAAAGACTGAAATAGTATTTTCTTCTTACTTTCATTTTCTACAGTGCAAAGATTTCTATCATCATTTACTCACCCTCATGTCATTCCAAACCTGCATTATCAGCTCTTTTCTATCATGATAGGTGACAGAAAATATTCATAGTCTTCTAAAGCTGTTTGATGTGAGAAACAGACTAAAATGTAACTTATTAATCACCATCAGACCATGTGCGTCACTGTTTTTGAGCTTGCACAAGCATGAATGAGATCTGACTGGTAAAACAGTGAACCTTTAATGTGTTTTTTTCCCCACTCCCGCTCAGACAACTCGCCAAAAAAGCTTGTAAATAAATCAAATCTTTCTCCACATCTATAGAGTTACTTCTAAACACTGATTGGAGTTGTGAAAATATCATTGGACAGGGAAGACAAAAATGCTGATAAAATTCTCAGATGTTGTTCCAATAAGGACACCGATTTGTATGTAATATGAATTAATGATTCATTTAAATAAGGGTTATTCCATAACGGTGACCCAATTCATCAATGAGGAATGGTTTTCGAGGAGAACCTCTTATGAAACAGTTTTTCTGATGCTAGAAATCTCATTTTATCCTGGTAATTGTCTCTCTGCACAGTAACAAGAGACACCACAGCAAGAGCACAGGATCAACTGGCTCGAAGTTATCTTAGATGATCAAGGTCTCGGCAGAAAACTGCTGAAATAATTGTACAGTTCGCACCTTTTCATGTTCTTATACTGTGAATCCTCAATTTTACTGGGGGTAAAAGCAAAAACCACATAAACAAGGAGAATGCCTAGCAAGCAATTTTGCATTTAAAAGATATCTAACAGCCGTCCAAACACAGCCCTGACGTCTAGGCTAAAACAAGACCAAATTTGGGCTGTCAGTGAAAATTTTATAGACGTCGAACCAATGCAATCCAAGAATAGACTAGTCATCAACCCACAGGCTTCGCATATAACATGCCAAAGAAATGAAACCAAACACCTTGTAATCACTGTTGACTTTGCTTACAGGATGGTATACCTCTCGCAAGTTATTGTGGCAAAAACGACATGTAACCAAATTCAAGGTTATTTTGACTAGAAGTGGGTTACTCAGAGCCAGACAATATATTCTACATACACTCACCGGCCACTTTATTAGGTACACCTGTCCAACTGCTCGTTAACACTTAATTTCTAAGCAGCCAATCACATGGCGGCAACTCAGTGCATTTAGGCATGTAGACATGGTCAAGACAATCTCCTGCAGTTCAAACCGAACATCAGTATGGGGAAGAAAGGTGATTTGAGTGACTTTGAACGTGGCATGATTGTTGGTGCCAGAAGGGCTGGTCTGAGTATTTCAGAAACTGCTAATCTACTGGGATTTTCACGCACAACCATCTCTAGGGTTTACAGAGAATGGTCCGAAAAAGAAAAAACATCCAGTGAGCGGCAGTTCTGTGGGCGGAAATGCCTTGTTGATGCCAGAGGTCAGAGGAGAATGGCCAGACTGGTTCGAGCTGATAGAAGGGCAACAGTGACTGAAATAACCACTCGTTACAACCGAGGTATGCAGCAAAGCATTTGTGAAGCCACAACATGCACAACCTTGAGGCGGATGGGCTACAACAGCAGAAGACTCCACCGGGTACCACTAATCTCCACTACAAATAGGAAAAAGAGGCTACAATTTGCAAGAGCTCACCAAAATTGAACAGTTGAAGACTGGAAAAATGTTGCCTGGTCTGATGAGTCTCGATTTCTGTTGAGACATTCAGATGTTAGAGTCAGAATTTGGCGTAAACAGAATGAGAACATGGAACCATCATGCCTTGTTACCACTGTGCAGGCTGGTGGTGGTGGTGTAATGGTGTGGGGGATGTTTTCCTGGCACACTTTAGGCCCCTTAGTGCCAATTGGGCATCGTTTAAATGCCACGGCCTACCTGAGCATTGTTTCTGACCATGTCCATCCCTTTATGGCCACCATGTACCCATCCTCTGATGGCTACTTCCACCATGTCACAAAGCTCTAATCATTTCAAATTGGTTTCTTGAACATGACAATGAGTTCACTGTACTAAAATGGCCTCCACAGTCACCAGATCTCAACCCAATAGAGCATCTTTGGGATGTGGTGGAACGGGAGATTCGCATCATGGATGTGCAGCCGACAAATCTGCGGCAACTGTGTGATGCCATCATGTCAATATGGACCAAACTCCCTGAGGAATGCTTCCAGCACCTTGTTGAATCTATGCCACGAAGAATTGAGGCAGTTCTGAAGGCAAAAGGGGGTCCAACCCGTTACTAGCATGGGGTACCTAATAAAGTGGCCGGTGAGTGTATATTACAATGTTAAAGATCACCTTAAAAAGTGGCTTATGTCAAACCAGATGTGTAAACATTTTACTTAGGTATTTTAAATAATATGTTTGGGGTATTTGTCTATTTGTGTTTTAGCATATGTGTCCTTGTGTGTACAAATTAGCAATGTTGCTATAATCCGGCTTGTTTTATGTTCATTAACATGCATTGTTCCTATCAAATAAATAAACAAACCAATTGTTGAAATGACTAAATCTGGTCCATCGGTTTTGGATATCGCTCATGTGCTGGATGTGAATGGTCACAATGCACAGAATTATTTCAGAGCACTGAGACCACTACCATGCAGAATGTAAAGTGCTGTGGCAGGTCAAGGAAGGTTAGAGAGCATTTTGACAGAAAGATGAAAATAACCCTGAATGCGGGACCACATCAACACAGATTCTAAAGACCTGGATGAGACCTCCAACCTCCAATTTCATCTTGAACTGTAAGATTTGATTGAGAGGTTGTGTGCCAGTAAAGAAAGTACTGTAGTTTAGTTTTCTTAGATTAGTTAAGAAAACAAAAACAAAAAAAAACTTGCATTTGCCAAAGAAAATAAGGACTGGAGTGTGGAAGATTGGAGTCAAAATTGCATTACGGTGTCATGTTTGTAGGAGATGACTGGAGTGTTTTAATACCAAATGCATGCGTGTGCCATTAAGCACGGCAGGGGAAACAATGTTATTGGGAACTCGTGTCTGCAGCAGGTTTTGAAGGATCTACAAAGTTGCAGGCACTTTGAAAATGGACCAATACTTGTGAATCCTGCTGGACAAAATGTCAAGTATGGAGGATCTGTTTGGAGATCAAATGTGTATTTTTCAACACAATAATGATTCCAAACACACCGCAAATGCAACAAAGTTGCATGCAATGAAAGTGTTCATTCTCAGTATTTTGAAGTCTTCGAGTGCCTCCTCAGTCCCCTGACCTCAAAGCCATTGAAAAGCTTTGGGAAATTATAAACCTGCATTGTGAGAAGTCACGCAGGTCTTAATGAAGCTTATCTTTGGGAAGAACTGAAGGAGGATTGGAAATACGTTAAATACAACACACGTACAAAGTTTAGTGAGTCAATGCCCAGGAGAATGGCTGCTGTTATCAAAAACAAGGGAGAGCCAACAAATTATTATTACATTGTAAGCAATGTATATCATTTCCTGTGAGCTTTTTGATTTTCTATGGATTTTTGCATAATACAATAAAACCCTTTATTTAATTATATGCAAAAGTTTGCCTAAAATAATGGCCAAATAATTTTGTCATTTTAAAATCCTAACCAAGTTTAGTGTATTCTTCCCAGTCTCCTCTATACGGTATATATGACTAACGGTGGATATTTTGCTTTGGCATTTGTTTTGTATCAAATTATTAAATATGGAACATGAAAGTGACTGAGTAGGGTTCATTCCAGTTTTACTGTCATTCACAGCATATTAGTAGCCTATGCATAACTTCACGATTAGAATAGCACATTAACCCCTCTTACTGTCACTCGTTTTCATAAACAGCACATTTTTTAACATTAGCCTACCATTTCAAAAGCATAACAGCGCGTTTTATACGGCGCATCACCGTGACTATGATTAGTCTTCTTATAAGCACAAAAAAGGAATAGCCTATTATAGTCATCAATTGTCAAAACAGCGTAATACCACCTGTGATTAATGTTCAGTTCAGAAATGCATGTAGGTGTCAGTGTCCTAACAGTGCATTAATACAGCACATTATCAGCTATTTTTCTCTCAGCACTTTATGCTAATCATCATCGCCGTTCTTGTCATAAGTTTTCATAACAGCGCAGTAGATGCGGAACATCACCGTTACTGTGATTAGTGTTCATAACAGCGCACTACACACTAGGCTACACCACAACGCTCAGTCAGCAGTGACAGGCAATCACTGCAAACGCTGGAAGTCTCTTGTGGATCCGGAAAGAACTTATACGCATTTCTCTGGAGCCTAGGTGACATTTTTTTTTCTTCTGAGACGTCTTCAGCCTTATTGACACACTGAACTACAAACACTGGTCGACTGCCCTGATTCCTTCTGGACGGGCTGCTGACCTTCAGGCGTTTCAGTGACCATGCTGGAAATACAGTTAGAAAAGAAATGAATTCTTTCAATGAAACATCGAACTTGGAGAATAACTATATTTTCGCCGATGAGACTTATCAACTCCTGACGTTCACCATCGGATCTATCGGTGTCCTGGGCTTCTGTAATAACATCATCGTCATTATTCTCTACTGCAGATTCAAGAGACTCCGAACTCCGACTAATTTGTTAATAGTGAATATAAGTGTCAGCGATCTGCTGGTGTCCCTCACTGGAGTTAATTTCACATTCGTCTCGTGCGTGAAGAGAGGATGGGTCTTTAATTCTGCCACATGTGTTTGGGATGGATTCAGCAACAGTTTATTTGGTCAGTTCTGTCTTTTAGTTTCTCGATCATGTATCGATAGAGTCACCTGAATAAGTTTTCGGCTAAACCCTACTTCGAATTTAATTTTAAGAGTCATTCTTACATGTTTTTTTTTCTCTGTTTACTTCATCAATACAGATCAGTTGATTTGCATATTCCGTTTGGTGATGGCTAGTTTATTCGTCTTTTAGCCTTTATGATCTTTCTGAAAACAGTCATTTTTAAATGTTTTTGGTCAGTTCAGTTGTCATTAAAATGGTCTCATATATTGCTGTGTTAACTCAGGGAAAATGTTAAGAACAAAACGTTTATACAAGTCACGGCGTTTGTTTTGGTGCAGTTATGTAATACGTTTTAAAAACGTTAGCCTATAGAAAGCACATATAAGCAGATGTTAAATATAAGCAAAAGCAAATAATTTAAAATCATCTTGAACATACGGTACCTGAGTGCGTAGGTTTAATACGGAAACCATACAGGACCAAACTGTAGGCTACCGCGAGGTTTTAAAAGATAAAAAAATAGGCTACAGCCAACGAGTACCACCAACCACATTTAGCTATTTGTGTGTGGGGTGGTATTTATCACAACTGCCAGGCATTAAGTAAACTGTAAGTAAGTTGTGATTCTTTATATCTTAATATTAGATTTGTGAAGGTCTAACGTTAGACTTTTTGAATGGTCGCACGAAACAGCCTACATTTCTCACGCGAACAAAGTCACTGCAGCAACGCCGCCGCGCGCAGCGTGACTGACAGGATCTCGGACACAACCTATACCTCGCGACGAATTATCTGAATAACTTCTAAAAAGCCACGATAACAAGACAACACATTGGAGTAATATCATTTACTTATAGTTGTATGTTAGCTGCCTTTAAGTATGGAAGTATGGAATCGCTGGTAAATGGAGAAGAGAAAACACACTGCATTGATAACATAAAATTAACATTAAATGACTTTGGATAGCATAGCTGAAAACATTTGATCTTGTAAGAATTTGATGAGAAATGTTCACATTGAGGTATTTCGATTAGATCTTAGTAAATCAGAGGACAGTTTGAGATATTATTGAGATATATTTTTCAACTTTAGAAGAGGCGTAAGATTGTAGGGTCTTTTTCTTTGGATGAAAATCTTAGGGACAGGAAACTTAATTCTCTGCCATTTTGGCTTTTCTACACCAAATGATCTCATATGATCATCATCTGACTCATTTGATGCAATCTTGTTCAAGTTATTAAGGGATATTTGGCAGCATGGATCAAATTAAAGGAAATGTATGGTATGGCTAACTTTATCTAATTATATCAGATATTGCCTTAGCTTCATGGTCATAAGAACATTAAATGCTTCATTAGGCCTATTTGATATTGTTACGGAAAGCAAAGATGCAGCTCTAAGCGTTCGTAAACAACTGTGATACACGAATGAAAATAAAAGTCCATCTGCTGCAGGGAAAGATAAAGTCGAATAGAGTCGGATAATGGCACTTTAATGGACCAGAAATAACCGGTAGAATATCAACAACGCATCTGTGAGAGGATATGCTTTGAGAAGAGCTTTGTAATCTCATTTCTGAAAGATAGATATGCACCTGCGCCCCCAAGGTCACACCTGCTGTTATTCAAAGACTATCATCCCTCATGATTGCTGCTGTACTGCCTCATTTGATGCATTTAGATGTGAAATCAGAATCCTTTTATGCTTCTACAGTTGTTTGTACGGACATTTGAGTCTATGACCTAAATTTTTGCCTCCTTGAGAATTGACTTATTTAAATAAAAACAGTTTTGAAGAGAAGTTGCTCAGTGTGTAATCCTGCATTATATTCCATATCAAAATTACCAAGCACAGTTCTATGTGATGTAAAAAGAGGTCTGTGTGAATATTTCTGACAGCTGAGAGGACAAATGCGAGTGCTGCCTCCCCACCGGCTCTGTCACTGAGGACTGTGATGTCTGGGTAATTGGGGGAAAGTCTCTTGGCAGAGTAGTCTCTGTCTGTGTATACTGCCACTCTGAGATACAGTTATTTACTTATAAAAATGAAATGATAGCAATTACTATGATCCATCATCTGTTGAATTTAGGACTGTATCCTGGGAGCTTGATTTCTGTAAAAGAATAGGCAAACATTGTTTAGCATTTATATTTATTTGTATAACACTTTTCACAATATATAGCCTATAGTTTAAAAGCAAATTTACAGAAAATCATGATTTTAATGTTTTTAATAGCTCAATATCTTCATACCTTATCGTTGCAGCTGGGCAGTAATATAGTTTACATTTACAGATGTGTGAATCTCACAAAATCTGTCAAGAAAATGTCCAGATAATTTCACCCAAAAATCAAAATGAGAATTACAAACAAACTCAAAGATAAATATCTGGACACTTCTATCTATCTATCTATCTATCTATCTATCTATCTATCTATCTATCTATCTATCTATCTATCTATCTATCTATCTATCTATCTATCTATCTATCTATCTATCTATCTATCTATCTATCTATCATCTATCTATCTATCTATCTATCTGTCTGTCTGTTTATCTGTCTATCTAGGTCAGCTGTCTCTTTATCTCTCTTTTCGTCCTTTAAGGTATCGTGTCCATCATGACTCTCTCCGGCCTGGCGTATGAGCGCTACATCCGTGTGGTTCATGCCAAGGTCATTGACTTCCCCTGGGCCTGGAGGGCCATCACACACATCTGGCTGTACTCTTTGGCCTGGACTGGAGCTCCTCTCCTGGGATGGAACCGCTACACGCTGGAAGTCCATCAGTTAGGCTGCTCTCTTGACTGGGCGTCTAAAGATCCCAATGATGCTTCCTTCATTCTCTTCTTCCTCCTCGGATGCTTCTTTGTCCCTGTGGGTGTCATGGCCTACTGTTATGGAAACATCTTGTATACAGTGAAAATGGTAAGGCAAACACTTTCCTTTAATTATGTGTGCCACAGACTGAAAAAAATGGTAACCTAAAAATAACAACATCTAAATTAATCATTTTCTCGCTGACTTTGTCTCTGGATGTCTCATTTATACAGTACGTATATCTCCTTCAACCTGATAAGCTACAAACACACTACTTCTGAATCAAAAAATAGTGAGCTGCCTAACTTTGTAAGGGGTTTTTCATTGATTTATGGTGGTTGTTTCAATACATGGTCTTATATATATATTTATATATACATACATACAGTATATACACCACACACACACACACACACAGATTTGGGGTAACGCATTACAAGTAACGTGAGTTACATAATCAATTACTTTTTTCAAGTAACTCGTAAAGTTACTTTGTTTTCCCATTTACTGACTGACAGCTCTCCTGTCCCCATGTTGACAGAAATCGGATTAAAGGGATAGTTCACCCACAAATGAAAATTAGCCCATGATTTACTCACCCTGAAGCCATCCTAGGTGTATATGACATTCTTCTTTCAGACGAATACAATCGGAGTTATATAAAAAAATATCCTGGCTCTTCCTAAGTTGATAATGGGAGTGAATGGCTGTATGTCTTTGGAAGTCCATCAAATGTATTCATGATTAAAGTGCTCCACGCGCCTTCGGGGGTTAACAGACGGCCGTACGCATCGACTTACGCCAAAAGAGTTGCCCTTGAACTTGACGCACAACGTAATGGCGGCAATTGACGCCTCTCGTGGTTCAAACAAACAGGGCTGGGCAACCGTGTTCGTCATTACGTTGTAGTCGATGCGTACAGCCGTCTGCCGGTCTGAGCTAGTTATTTTAGTTGATAAAGTATTAAATATGGATATTTTTCTTACACGAACGCTTCACTTCAGAAGGCCTTTATTAACCCCCCACCCCCCGAAGACGCATGGAGCACTTTAATCATGAATAGATGCGCTTTGATGGACTTCCAAAGACAGCCATTCACTCTTATTATCAAGCTTGGAAGAGACAGGACATTTTTTTTATTTAACTCCGATTGTAGTGGCTTCAGGGTGAGTAAATCATAGGCTAATTTTCATTTTTGTCTGAAAAGTGCAGACACATTGTGTGCGCTGTGTGAACATGATGGTTATTGTAGTTCTAGACTAGCCTGGGAAAACCCAGACAACTTCCGGCAAATTTAGATTTGCTCTGAAAGTTAGTCTGGCAAAGAGCTCATTCAAGCTCATTTCCAATCCGCCGAAATCTAGGCACCAATCAGAAACGTTGGGGCGGGCTTTACACGATGACGACAGCGCTGGGATTTTGAAGCAGATTTTGTAGCCTACATTACAAAGATGGATGCCGCCGTCGAACATCACTCGTTCGAATCAGCTATCGCGTCTGTTTTAAGCGATTTGAACGTTTCCTTTTTGTTAAAAACCGAGCAAAGAACAACACTCGGAGATGTTTCTCCGCTGCTCTGCATTCGTCATCTCCTTCATCGCTCTGATTGGTTTTAGGTCTATCCGGGACGTCCGTTGGTGACGCCCCTCTGGAAATGATTTGTCTATGACGCTTTGCCAGACCATAACTCAGTTACAACTGAGAATGGTCTGGTTTTAACCAGGCTAGTTCTAGACTAAATGTGAGCATGCATTTACTCATCTCCCTTGCACAAAACAGATTTAGTATTCAAAATAAATAAAAACAGTGAATGCAAACTCAAATTATTACGCAAACCTACAATAACACAAATATACTTTTTATATATTTAATCTCACTTTATTAACCAGTGTCTTTGCTGCTGTCCTTCGATGATCCAATTCAACCACACTAATAAGCAAAAATTACTTTAGATTAATATCACATTTGCGTTTTATATTGATGAAGTTAAGGTGTGGAATTTTTTAGAACAATTTTGTCCTATTGTTCTGAAATCCAGAATGCTAGCACAGCTGAAAGGTTCGTTTGAGCCTAAGACTTATTCATTTCACTTTTGGCGTGAAAAGGCCTTTACATTTGCCAAAATAGAACTTTTGCTCTTTTTTTAAGTTAAAAAACAAACAAGCAAGCCCAGTCTAGGTGAGAAAAAGTAATGCAAAAGTAACGTAGCGTATTACATTCCAAAAATAATTAAATTACACAAATTTAGTTACTTTTTTTATACATAGGCATAAACAAAACTGTATTTTAAAGCATCACATGACCTGTGATTTGCATGTCACCTGAGTTTCTTTCTTTCTGTTTTTAACCTTCATCATTCTCTCTTGTTCTTTTATAAACACACTGTCAAGCTGTTGTGATTTAGCAGTGTATGGGGCCAACACATTCTGTATGAGGGGCTATTTCAACTAAAAGCCTATTGTCTGAAGGTGCCTTCAAACAATAAGCAGAGACTGTGATTGTGAACGTAAATAGCTTGCGGTTTTCATCAGCGCAGCTCCTGTGCGTCAGATTTGATCAGGTGTGCCGTCCAGGAGGGGGAGGGCAGGACTGCTGTAAAATGATCTACAAATGATTGTGTTCTTACTGAAGCGTTTGAAATACAGTCTCTTATCTCAGCTTTATGTACAGAGACAGCCACAAGTAAGCCATTTGTAGGTTGATTCGCATGAAAGCATTCAGCAGGGTGACATGGCCAGCAGCCGTATCTCTATAGCCCAAGACTGGTTGCCCACTGAAGCTGAGCAGGGTTGAGCCTGGTTAGTACCTGGATGGGAGACCTCCTGGGAAAACTAGGTTGCTGCTGGAAGAGGTGTTGCTCACCCTGTGGTCTGTGTGAGTCCTAACGTTCCAGTAAAGTGATGGGGACACTATACTGTCAAAGAGCACCTTCCTTCGGATGAGACGTTAAACCGAGGTCCTGACTCTTTGTGGTCATTAAAAATCCCAGGATGTCTTTCGAAAGAGTAGGGGTGTAACCCCGGCATCCTGGCCAAATTTGCCCAATGGCCTCTGTCCATCATGGCCTCCTAATCATCCCCATATATATATACTCATTGGCTTCATCACTCTGTCTCCTCTCCACCAGTAAGCTGTGTGTGGTGGGCGTTCTGGCGCAATATGGCTGCCGTCGCATCATCCAGGTGGATGCTCTACATTTGTGGTGGTTGAGGACGGATATTCCCCCTTCCATATGTAAAGTGCTTTGAGTACCTAGAAAAACACTATATAAATGTAACAATTTATTATTAAAAACAGCAACACTGGCTAGTTTCTGGTGGAATTATCTGTTGTCTGATCAATGGCAGACTGCATACATATATATTTATGTGTGTGATGGCGTGGATCAATATGTGAGATACAGCAGTCGATCAGAAAATGTAAAACTGCTGGATCGATTAAACAAACCACAACAACCACAAAGTGATGATGAGCAGCCGATTATGTACCAGCACAACACAAGATTGCATTTGGATTGAATCCAAGAATTGTATTGATTTGAGACAGAAAAAAAGCATAGATTGAAAGGAACAAGCAGCTCAGTTGTGAAGTTCATGCATGCATACACACTGGTAATTGTCAATAAAAAGTCCAACACTACTGAGATGAAGAAAAGCCAGTGAGACATAAACAATAGGTTACTGTCGTAACCCCGGTTCTCTGAAACATCGAGTGGAGAGATCCACCTATGGGAAGGGCATCCGTACCTGACCTCTGCAGAAGCATCCAATTGCACCAAGTCTGGCTAACAGACAGAAGCGCGCAGCCAATGCCAGGTGAGGCCACACCCCCTTACCTACGGGCATATCACAGCTGGGCGCGCTGCTATTCCTCAGTCAGTATATTCGCTTCTCGTGCGGCAAGCGGGGCAAGGCTGGTGGATCTCTCCACTCGATGTTTCAGAGAACCGGGGTTACGACAGTAACCTATTGTTCTCTTTCATCATCTCGTTTCGAGATCCACCTATGGGAGAGACATGGACAGCTCCCCGATTGCCCAATACACTCACAGTGAGGTTCTGAAGGCCAGAGAAGGACGGTCACCTCAGAGAGGCGGTGCCTGACACGTCCCACAAACATGACCCTGCAAGTTTTCCGCCACGCTAACTGCTGTGGACAAGCAGGGCATGAAACATGCATGAGACACATACATGATAATGGCCCCCGCACCACCAATGCACATAGCTAAACCCAAGAAGGAATGCGAATGCTTGGTGACAGGAATGAACATGGCCAGCCGGCCCATTCACTCCTCGTTGGTTAACCAAACGGGGCTGTGGGAAAGGGCTAAGAGGACCCTACCCCTAGGACCGAGTGTGCCACCGAAGTTCTGGTGACATCCAACCGGTAGTAACGCTCAAAGGTATGAGGAGAGGCCCAGCTGGCCGCGGAGCAGATGTCCTGCAGTGGCACTCCCCTGAACAAAGCCCAAGAGGCGGCTAAGCCCCTTGTGGAATGAGCTCTGATGCCCCTTAGGGCTGCACTCCCTTTGCTTCATAAGCCATAGTATAGCGTCCACAAGCCAATGTGAGAGGCATTGCTTTGAAATGGGACTCCCCTTGTGCAGGGGAGCCCTAGAAACAAAGAGCTGGTCGCTCTTGCGGAAAGCACTGGTCCTGGTCATTATGCTTGCAGAGCACGGACGGGACACAGAGCATTCAGCCCCTGATCCAAAGGGTGGAGGGTGAAAAGCGGATAGCTCCAAAACCTCCGACGTGAACGCAGGGAAGCATTTCGGCATGAAGGCCGGGTTAGGCTTAAGGAAAACCTTATCTCCACTTAGGGAGAATTTGGCGCACGAGGGGTGAACCGAGAGTGCATGTAGCTCACTGACCCGTTTAGCAGATGCCAAGGCCGAGAGCAAAGCTGTCTTGAGGGACAGCAGCTTAAGGGAAATACTCCCCAGAGGCTCAAAAGGATACAGAGACCGCGCTTCCAGCACCATGGAGAGGTCCCACTCTGGGACAGATACAACAGATCTCCTGATGACCAGCAAAGAGCGGCGTGCACCCTCCATAAATCTGCGGGTTAGAGGGTGCTGCCTGACGGTGGAGCCCCAAAACCCACATG